CGGCCACAGCACCGCCCTGCAGCCGCAGCGTTGCACTGAGCGGCGCGGGGCATTGCTGCAGCACGGGAGCAGCTGCCCTGAAGAAGGGCTTTCCTTACACCAGGAAGGGGCTGTGGGCTAGCTCGGACCGAAAGCCTGTTTCTGAGGACTGAGAACTTGGAAAAATCCAGGCAGCTCATCCCTGCTTCACGGGGACAAGAGGCAGCCAGCTCCTGGTCTGCATCGGCATGTCCTCTGCTTCTCCTCGCCCTCTGGTCCCCCCCAGGTCCTCCAATCCCCCCCCAGACTCACCAATCCCCCCCAGCCCCTCGAGCCCTGCTTGTTGCAGTCGTTCTCGTTGGCCGCCACGCATTTGTGGCATTTCAGCGCTGCGCCTGCACGAAGACGGGGGGACGAGGAGTGAGAGCGGCAGCGACGCGCTGCCCCGGAGCCCCGAGTGCCGCCTGCGGTCTGCGAGTCTGTGCAGCCCTGGGTGACCCCAGCCCGGGGGCAGGGGGCCACAGGTGAGGGTTTGCTGGTCAGAGCCCAGCAGCTGAGCTGGCCAGGAGCCGGCCAGGCCACGGCGCGCGGCAGGCTGCGGGGTCGGGGCTCTCCTGCCCATGAAATTCCTGCGAAACTCTTCCAAGTGTGACTCCAGAGGGTGAGGGCTACGCTGGGCAGGCCAGCTCTTCCCAGTCCTCCCCTGCAAAACCGGGCTGAAACTGAGCCCCGTAATACCCTTCCCAGTAAAAACAGGTAGGCATAGTATTTCAAAAAGCACCCTAGATCTTTGTCTTCTTGTGCACAATCTCATTTAACGAGCGTTTTTGGGGGAAGGGAGGATTTGCCTAGCCCATGGAAGCAGGCTCTGTGCCCCTGTGTGCCTGCGAGCTGCAGCAGCTCCCCGTTTGGCACAGCAACTGCTCCCCAAAGGCGCTGCCCGGGGCTGGGGCCGGTGACCGCGGCACAGAGCTGGCACAGAGCCGGCAGCCCATGTGCCAGGAAGGATGGGTCGGCCCCGAATGGTCCCCAGAGGAGGCCACGGGCAGCCGGGCAGCAGCCAGCCCCCCGCCCCCGGCACCGGGCTGGCAGCAGGCATAGGAGCTGTCTGACTTTGGGAGAGGAAAATGCACAACTGCCCGACGTCCCAGCCCGGCTTCAGAACCGGCTGAGCAAATGTGAAAGCATCACTATCAGTTTATGACCGTGAGAGACTTTAAATAGCAGCACTGTTTTAAATGTCCTCCCCCAAAAACCCCAGACCTGAGGATCCTGCCCCTGCCCGAAATTACCAACGCTCGATAGCGATGGTGACGGCTGAATCCCGCGGATGTTGGCTCAGAATCTGCGTCGGCTTTGCCGGCTGAGCAGAGCCCTCTCGTGGCAAGCGGGCCCCGCTCCTGGTCACAGGGGGGTCTTGCGGGAGGCCAGAGCTCCCACCTTCATCTGGTGGGGAAGGAGAAAACTGGTGGCTGCGGGAAACTGGGATTCCATGGGGCCAAATGCTGGTAAACGCCTGCCGTGAACCCGCACTGACGCCAGCTTCCACAGTGGGATTGCTCGCCTTGTGCTTCTCCTTTGCGGTTCTTTGCAGCACGGTACAACCGCTCGGTTACCGCCCACTGACAGCTCATGCTCCATCTTCTCCTGGTGCAAAGATCCTGAGACCGTCCCGACCCGGCCACGCTTCGCGGCATCGCTCTGAGCAGCACGACCACTTTCCTGCCTTTTAAGGCGGCTTTCTGTCATTCTGCCCTTGAGGAACCAAGTATTAGCTGGGAAATCCTGCTCCAGCCATGAGAAGCTGCTGTTCCTTGGCTCGGGTGCCTCCTCGGCCCCGTCTGAGCTGGAAACCGGGAGGCTCCGTGGTCCCCGCTGGGCACCGCACGCCTGCGCGTCGTGCAAGCGGCAGAGGGCGAGGGGCAGGGTGCTCCTCTGGCTGCTCCTTGGAGAAGGCCACTGTCCCCCCCAGAACACCACGTTTCTGCAGGGATGGGAGCAGCGTCGGGCAGGGGCACAGCGGGCACACGCAAGCCTGCGGGGCAGCGGCGGGGACAGGCAGCAAGCAGAAGAGCAGCTACAGCGATTTACCCCACCTAGCACTGCCTCGAGCTACGGGACACTTACTTTCTCCAGCCAGCGATGTGACGATGGCCAGGGCCAGGAGGGTCTTCAGGGAGGACATTTTCAGCAGTGCGCAGCATGGGGCGCGTAGCCTCTGTTTTGTCTTAAGGTCTTACAGCTAATCTGCTTGGGCGATTGGACCGCTGGGCTGGGGATGACACACTTACTGCAGCCCCTGACTAATGCCATCTTAGCCAGGGAGGAGGACACGGCTCTCCAAGGGCATGGGCCGGGGCACGGGAGCGGGGCAGAGCACCAGTGCTGGTGGCAGTGCCTGGACCTGCCCACGCTTGCCGGGCTGGCCTCTGCTCCGCGTCCCGCGGGTGCCTGCTGCGGGAACCGTCTCCATCTCCGGACACGTTGCCTTGGTTGGCTCTCAAAGATCTTGTCCAAGCCCACCTGCTCCACGCAGAGAGTAACCCCTTTCTTGCTGCCTGCAGCCGCCCAGTTGGGGAAAAACCCTCCAAAGTTTCCAGCCCACCACCAGAGAAGTGCAAGAGAGCGACCGCAACCCCGCACGGGGCGGGGAGCCCAGCGGAACCGTCCCTGGGCTCCCCAGCCCTCAGCCGGGCCCCGTCCTCGCAGAGGGATTTACCTGAGGCCACGAAGGCATCGGGGTCAGCGCCGGGATTAAGCCAACTCTCACCACGCTTACTCGAAACCAACTGCACTGCAAACCACGCTAACGAACCCGAGGCAGAACATGGCCCATGCTGGAAGACACCGCCAACTTCTCCAAAAACCCTTCAGCGACCTCACAAACACTAAGAGCTTTCAAGAGTGATAAACACAGTTTTTATTCAGGCAATGAAACATGGAAAAAATATATTAGTAATCATTATAATAATCTCATTTGTGTGAGTATAACTCTTACAAATATTTACCTGACATACAAAAGGGAAATTATCGTACATATAAAATCGATGGCGATGGCAGTTACACACGTGGTACAAAGCGATCGGGGTAGTAGTCAATGCGGAGAGCGCTCCTGCCTCTGGGGGACACGCTGGGGGTCGGGCGGCAACGGTCTGCCGT